AATTTTTCCCGAGAGCGTCTGAGCGCAGGGTTCTTCCAATAGTGGGGGTCTGTAAAACATCTTCTCATCTTCACATCTTCTCGTCTTCACATCTTCTCATTTTCACATCTTCTCATATTCACATCTTCTCCTCTTCACATCTTCTCACCTTTACATCTTCTCACCCCTCATCTTCACATCTTCACATCTTCTCATCTTCACATCTTCACATCTTCTCCTCTTGCCCTCTTGCCCTCTTGCCCTCTTGCCCTCTTGCCCTCTTGCCCTCTTGCCCTCTTGCCCTTTTGCCCTCTTGCCCTCTTGCCCTCTTGCCCTCTTGCCTTCTCCTTCTTTTCTATTTCTCTTCTGAAGGCGGGGGCTGGGGCAGTGCCAACGAGACGGCACGAAACGCAACCCTTTCGCACGAAATGAGGTTCGATCGCCAAAAACTGAAGTAAAATTGCAATTTCAACTTGTCCGGCGCAACCCTTTCGCACGAAATGAGGTTCGATCGCCAAAAACTGAAGTAAAATTGCGATTTCAACTTGTCCGGCGCGACCCTTTCGCACGAAATGAGGTTCGATCGCCAAAAACTGAGGTACAATTGCGATTTCTTCTGTGTGTAAACGTGTCATGTAAAAGCTTCTGTGTGCTGTGTGTAAAAGTGTCTGTGTGTAAAAGTGTTTGTGTGTAAAAGCTTCTGTGTGTCAAAGCGTCTGTGTAAAAGTGTCTGTGTAAAGGCATCTGTATGTAAAAGCTTCTGTGTGTAAAATCTTGTGTGTGTAAAAGCCTCTGTGCGTAAAAGCGTCTGTGTGTAAAACCGTCTGTGTGTAAAAGTGTCTGTGGCGTGAAAGTGTCTGTGTGTCAAAGTGTTTGTGTGTAAAAGTGTCTGCGTGTAAAAGCGTCTGTGTTTAAAAGCTTCTGTGTGTAAAAGCGTCTGTGTGTAAAAGCGTCGTGTGTAAAAGTGTCTGTGTGTAAAAGCATCTGTGTAAAGGCATCATCTGTGTGTAAAAGCTTCTGTGTAAAATCTTCTGTGTTTAAAAGCTTCTGTGTGTAAAAGTGTCTGTTTGTAAAGCCGTCTGTGTGTAAAAGTGTCTGTGGTGTAATAGTGTCTGTGTGTCGAAGCATTTGTGTGTAAAGTGTCTGTGTGTCGAAGCGTTTGTGTGTAAACGTGTCTGTGTGTAAAAGTATCTGTGTGTAGAAGCGTCTGTGTGTAAACACGTCTGTGTGTAAAAACTTCTGTGTGTAAAAACTTTTGTGTGTAAAAGCGTCTGTGTGTAAAAGTCTCTGTGTGCAAAAGCGTCTGTCTGTAAAAAGTTCTGTGTTTGAAAAACTTTACGAAAGATACGATGCAAAATGCAAACTATTGTCTTGTACTAGTCATATATTGTCTTGATACTACTCTTCTCGTCTGCCTATAATACATCTTTAATATATTGTCTTGTAATATGGTGTCTCCATACCAACAACAGAAGACCCTGCTCCTCTACGCTCTCGGGCCATCCGTCGTCCAATGTGCTATACCAAGGTGGCCAGGTGTGAGAAAAGTGGCCAAGAGGATGAAGTCATCAGAGAAGAGGCTGGGTCGCAACCACCACACCAATACAATTGCAGTTGCCATCTTTTTTTTTTGTGCTGCTGAAGGACAATTTGGTGTGGCATTTGCTAAAGCAATGATACCACCCAAGTGGCAGTAAAAAAGAAAGGAAGATTAAGGGAAAGAAAACCAAGGAACAACTTGAAAAGGCACAGAGCAAGGCTGGACACACCACTGCTGTAACTTCTATGCTTTTGGCATTGTCATGTGACCATTCATATACCTCTTCAGGCTTACAAAGCATCCTTGAAGGAACATAAGGCTTTGGATAAGAGAAAAGTGGCCCAGGCATGGTTTTATGTTTGTGGTTCCTAGCCACCAGCCATTCTGCTTGTAACATAGGTCTAGCAAATCTTTAGTGCCTTGCCAGGGGCTGTGCAGCTTGAACACAAGGAATGCCCCACAGGGCAAGTGGAACTCAGAGGTGCAGCATCCATGCAAATTTATTTACCAGTTGTTTGCATGTTTCATGCATGGAAAATGTCTTTCATGAGTGCCTTGGAGGTACACACCACATGCCTGTGGCAAGCCTTGGCATGGCTTCTATTGCTGTCTTTCCCCGTGACAGTGGAAGGGCATTGGATAGAAGGGTGCGTGGTGGCAGTCCATTCATGCAATATGTTGGCAGCTTGTTTGCCACTTGCTGTGATATTTTGCATGCACAACCCCAACAGAAGGCACAGGGACCCACCCGGCAGAGAAATGGGCCCTGGTGAAATGGCAGTGGCAAGGATCCACCACAACCACCACCACCACCACCACATCATGAGATTGTCTAGTCTACCCTCAAGGCTTCCATGGAAGACGCTTACCAATTTCTGCCATCAATCTCGTTTCCCAGTTTCTGCCTGCTTTGAGAATCAGACGGGAGAGGGGGCAGATGACATCATCACTCCCATGATTCCACCATTATACTTCTTGCTTTCAGGGAGAATGGTGGTGAGAATGCTTGCTTGTTTGAAAGGTGAAGGATTGGTGAGAAGGAGGCTATGGAGAAAACAGCCTGCAGCCAACATGGTGGTTCCTAGGCCAGCCATGACACACCGCCACCAGAGCCAGACATGCCACCTTCTACCCCATTGCTTTCTGCTTTGGTCCCCCAAGATGGAATTGCAGCACTGTCTGCAGACTTGTGGGTATTGGGTGGCAGTTCCCTCAGGGGCACAACTGATTTCCAAAAAGGGTTGGAGCTTGCAACCTACCCTTACGCTTTGAGGGCTGTGCCTGTAGATGGTGATTGCAGGATGCTGCTTTGCACAATCTTATTTGTTTACCACATTGACTGGCAGCTGCCTTAATCAATACCTTCTCGATGTTGTTGCAATTTGTGAAATTGACACATTAAAATACTCAAAAGGCGTTGCAATGTAAGCTCATGTTTTCATTGGTTTCAAACCACAGACAGCCGTGTTGAAACCCTGCGGGATGCTCTGTTAGACTTCCCACGCCTGCATGAAAGATGGCAATACCATCCACCCTGTTCTGGTGCCACCAAGACAGCTACAGCAACATCTGCATTTGGCACCTTTTGCCAGGCCTTGCATTGTTGGCACTCTGGTGGCCCTGCTGGATGCTGCTTTTGCCCAGAACCCATTCACTCTGTATCTGTGTGGGTATGGGCAAAAATTCCCTGCCAAAGTTTTCTTTGAGAACAAGCATATAAGATGTGAGGCTAGTTTGTGTGTTGTGTTTTGTTGTTTCTGCTTGTTTTTCCAAGTACTACTCTTCTTATTGATTGTCCGTCCCAAGTCAAGCAGGGTGTGGGCGAAACGGGGTGTTTGCGCGTACTATTGCTACTACTTTTATAGATTACCTTTATAATTATAACTCCCCGCAGCTGACACGTGTCAGCCCGTCCTGCAGTGGCCGCGCTCGCGCCCTGTTGGTTGATGATTTCAGCGGCATATATATATATATATATATATGGTGATCGATCTAAAGGTCCTTGTAAGGAGTTTAAATTGCGAAAGCCGTGCATGTCATGCTGGAAACCCTCGCGAAAGTTTTTTTTCGATTTCGCGAAAGTAAAATTTTATTTCGCGAAAGTTTCGCGAAAGTTGGATATTATAATTATGTAAAGGGCTGCCACCCACTGCCGCCCGGGGTCCGGCAGGAGAAGGGCACCAGAGAATGCGAGTAGCAGTAGCCAAGTTTCCAAAAGTGAGGCTTTGCGAGAGCCAAACACTAAGGCCCCTGGTCTTCGCTTTTCCTTCAGTGCACCCCCTGCTGATGGCCGGGGTCTGTGAATAGGGATATTTTCGCGAAAGTTCCGCGAAAGTTATGCGAAAGAGCGGGCGAAAGTCAAAGTGCATGTTGAAGGGGGTGGGCCAGTAAACTTTGCGAAAAAAATCTGTCCTGAGAAGGGATTCCGTGATGCTAGCTGCATGTTTAAAAGGCTACCAAGAAGTGATCCGTGATTCTCTGGCGTAATTTGGCAGGTGGTGAACGAATAATCGTCATAAGAGGCGTTGTGGCCCCGCGAAAGATAAACATGGAATTCGCGAAAGTTTCGCGAAAGTAAAATTTTTATTCGCGAAGAATGGCCGTTCCAGGATAAAGGAATTTTGATCAACAACCATATATATATATAGTTTTTTTCTAGTTTTTACCATCCAAAATCTGGGGATACGTAGGGATATACTTGATAAACATGGATAAACGATTGTTTTTTTTGATTATACACAGAGAATTTTTAGTGATTATACATAGGGGCCTAAACTATAGCCAACATATTGGGGATTCTCACCATCCGTGTTAATCATGTTGCTTTGATGCACTTGGGATGGAAGAGACGAAGGTGTAAGGTATAGACACCTTGGTACCGTCCGCTTCAGAGTTGCAAGAGGACCAACAAAATCAGGAAAACCCGTCCCAGCCTCAGGTTATCTAAGCGAAAAATTGGCATTCCCCATGGAATTTATACATGAAAATTTCATTTTTTTGGAATAGATCAATGAGCCATACTGTGCATTGAATCTCCGCATCTATGGGTCTGAGCACCGCCTGGAGCTTCTAAAAATTGACGATACCTGGAACCTATACTATACCTTAGGATTAATGAAAAATGTCCAGCAATAATCAGAAATATAGGTTATACATGGTTATACATGGATTATCAACCACGCATCAATCGAACCACCTTATCAAATATCCCAGTTGAAAAATGTTTTATAATGTGTTAATAATGTAATATGTATATTCACAATTATTCACATATATATATATATATATGTATATGTATATAGTTCTACATGTTCATACATATGCATATTTTTACACTTACATGTGTATGTACCTGTTCACACTTAAATATGTTTTATACATGGGTGTATATGATTATACATGTGATACCCTCCAGTAAACTAACATTTGCTACGGAAAGTCGCCATGTTTGGTATAGCGTTGCGGCGTCGCTGCGGCCGAGGCATGGCGCGGTCCCTGGAAGTCATGGACTGCAGCGGCTTGGACTGGGACGACTTCCATATGCTGCAGCTGGCGGAGGCGCGATGATGAAACGATGACATCCCATCATTTTCGAAGGTGGAAAACCCTCTGATACTCATGGAAATTATAGTATGATTTAATATGAGTTCAATTCAGATTTGATTTGATATAATCTGATTTCATGGGATATTCATGGGATATGAGTGGGATTTTATGAGATATGATGATATGAACGGAATTTCCGGCGCCATGAAACGTGGAAAATTCCTGCACGGTTTCTGGAGTTTTCAATTGGGAAAATCCACGCACTAAATGGTGTTTTTTCCAGCAAACCACGTTGAGAACACCGGAGGGTATCAGGGATTAAGTGTGACTTAATGGGATTTAATGACATTTTCATGGATATTCATGAGCAACCCCCCAATAAGTGACCATTACTATGGGGATGTTCTATCTTTTTGGCTGGTGAATTTAGGACATATTACTATGGTTCAAATAACGATATGGTTTGCCAACAAGATTGGGATATGCTATTGGCTGTTCAAATTGGCAAAACCATCAAGTTATATGGACCTGATTAATTTTGCTGGGGTATATAGCAACCCCCGAATAGATTCAAAAGATAGAAATTGGTAAAATCCGAATCTAAAAAATAGTGGTAATCACGAAAATTTGCATCATCTTGGGGGTAACTACAATCTACTATCATTGCCATGGTTTACCCTAGTTCTGCATGAGGATTTGGGATTTACGGGAACCAATGATGCTTGGGAACTACTCTCCGGTGTCGTCAAACATGGCTGGGAAATCAGTTGATTCAACAAACTAAACCTGGGATTTTTCAGCAAACCATGTTTGATTGCAAGAAGGTAATCTACATATTAACATGCATGGGGAATCTCCATAGGGAATATGATGAAATCGTTGTGTTTATGTATACATTATAATTATTATGAAAATCATATATAAATGTATATTCACCTGATCCCGATTTTTTTGGCAGACCCTATGTTCAAAAAGTTTGCGTGTTCAAGTTTGTCATGCTTTATTACATATGGTTTTCAACATGGTTTGTTTAGCATCAGCGATGCCATGTTTTTGTGGGGTCTGATTTCTCTACCTGGAATCATCCAACCAAATCAACCCACCAGTAGCATTGTTGACATTGAAATGGGTGGTTCCTTTGTTTCAGGTTCACTTGGTTTATCATTGGGATCCATGCGGTATCCGAAGATGATCATTGCCATTTCAACCAGGAGGTGATCATCAATCCAAATCAATTAGCAGTTTATAAATTTCTGGAGTTTGATGTTCCCGTATATTCCTGGTTCACTTTAAGATTATAGATCATCATAGGGAGTATGTAATTTATTTATAGGCTAAGTGTAGGGTTGATATATTGATGGCGATTATGGGTATATGTTTGATATAGTGTTAAGATCAAACCGTATTGCACTGGGTTTTTCATACTGTCAGATATTCATCGATATCTCACATTGGACTATCAAGGCACCAACTGTGATCCCCAGAATTTCCCCCGGCAGGTCTTGATCCACTGTAAGAGCCTGGTGAAGCTCATCTTGGCGGAGAATCGCCTTGGCGATTTTGGCCTCGAAGCGTGTCTTGGGTCTTTACGAAGCGTACGTGGCGTCTGCGGTGACCCCCCAAAGCAAGTTCAATGAGTGAACTGATGATAGATGAATGGTTTTTTTAAGGGACAAACTCAAATGCTGAAACAATGATGGAAAGCATTGGGGGTTATGCCTCGAGCTCCAGTATAAATCCAACAATATTTGGGACCTAATGGGACATGTTTGGATCCAGACACAACCAGCAATTTCTGTATATATATATATAATATATAATCATACATAATTTTCGTTTCCAAATGGGTTGCTGCTAAATTGGATAGTTTATCACAGTTTATTGTGATTTTCTGGATTATTTTTGCTAGCTTTTCTTGCATTTTTATTTTGAGAGCCCATGTAGGGACTTACACACTTCAGGCCTGATAGAAGTACCTAGAGAACCTAAAACTTGCTAGAAAACCTAAACCTGCTATTTCGTAGGATCAAATTGAGAACCCGTTTTTAAGATTAGTCTTGTATTTAAAAAAACAGTGGTTTCTTGAAAATTAAAGCCAGTTTTTCCACGAGAACCATTGCTTTTAAAGTGTTCCAGGCAAAATCATGTTTGTTGCTGTGATCATGTGTGAATCATGGTCCGGAGATGGATCAGAAATTATCAAGTTATACACGAGGCAAATTCGCACAACTTTCTGACACCATGGGATGCCCATCACTTATCCGTGGGCAAATCGGCATAAGAGAGCCCATGAAAAACTTGCAGATTTGGAGATGGAGAGCCTGGGGTTCCCACAATGGGTCATAATAACATATAATAACTACTTTACATATGAAAAACATGGACATGTTATAACATGTTATAGCAACCTCACTTTTTGACGTCACCAGAAACAATGCTTGGTGAGGGAAAAAAACATTCCCAGCATTTCCCAGCATTTCCCAGCATTTCCCAGCATTTCAGGTTGGTGAATCGCTATCATACAATTCAGATATGTTGGTATATAAATTGGTGAGATATTATAACATCCGTTACCATCCTATATTTGTAGTGATCGCTACATATTACACATAATTTATATATATATATATATAGTATAGTGATATGTATGTAATGTGTATGTAATATGTGTAATATACCCGATAAATAGATGTACATATACCCTCATCCCAACCTACATATGTATGGTATATGTATCCGGCGTTTTTTCGATCGTGTCCTTGAGGTTGGCATCCCGCTTGCCCGAGACCTTGGTGGCTGGTCTTGGTGAAGCCGTCGGAACGGTGGTGTGTTTTTTTTGAATTTCGCGACCATCCACCATACCCTCTGGTAAACATACAAAAATCTTGAAAATCACAATTTTTTATAGGTAAATCAACTATTTCTATGACCGTTTTCAAGAGCTATGTTATTTGACCAGAGCATAGAAACACTATGAAAGGAAATGGCTTACTGTACTATGCGATGTACTTAAAGCTTGTACGTTCGAACGACTTCAAAGACTTCTACATGGTACGACAATGTCTGTTTGAACTATTGAAGGAACTGATACATGATCTTGCAAAAGACATAAGAAGTGGCTTTTGCTCCCACCAACATATAGTGATATAGACTGTGACTATGCTTTAGGAGCTGGTCAGTAGCGTCAAATTTTACAGTTGGGTTCACCAGTTGAACGTGCCAATTGGAATCGTCTGATTAGTCCAATAGTTATCCAATAATAGTTACTGTATCCTAATGGATGATTACTATTGTCCAGTAGTTATCCAATAATTATCCAATAATGAGATATAATGAGTATTCAAATAGTTACTGTATCCTAACAAGATCTCGCTGATTATTCAACTATTTCTCTGCAATCTTGAGATTCAGAGCTCCACAGAGTTGTGTCACATGGTGTCACTGTGTCACATCCAGCTGAGATTTTCAGATCGGCTGTTGGACGCACCAAAAGAAACAGATCTTGAAGGCTTTGGCTCTTGTTCTACCCAAGTGAAGGGTCAAAACCCATGTCCTTCGGTGAACTTTAAAGATAGCTGATCTTATTGTTCCCAATATCCCCAGAGAATAGTTGGTATTAGTTGGTTACCACACATATCGTTGGCTGAATCACGTTCCGTATTTCCCATTCTATTCCCAGTATCTATTGGTTGAATCCGCTTTTTGTCGGTAACATATCTCAATAATGCTCCCATGATCTCTTCACTTTGTTGGTGAATCATGCTTACAATGAACCCTGAAAAAATGGTGATTAAACCTTGATGCATGCTTAATATCCCCATATATACGCATGTCCACATGATATGGCCATGATGAAACCATGAAATTGGTGAAACTTCCGTTCACCATTCTTGGATGGATCCATCCCCCATCACCACGACCCGCGCGCTGAGGAGATCTTGGACTTCTCCGGGAACTGCTTGGGGGATGAAGGGCTGAAGCACCTGGCGCGGCACCTGCCACCGAGGTGAAGCGAGCGCGGAGGGGATTTCATGGTGATAATGGTAATATATCATTGTATATATATATATATTATGATAGTATATATTATATATATACATGTTATATACACATTATGTTACACATAAAAACTATGTATTATGCATATATAGAAACTATTATAGTATATGGTCACTATACATGGGATGTTACCAGGAATGATGATGTCATAGTGTCATAGTGTCATAGTGTCATAGTGATTGTGGAAAAGCCAACAACATCAAGCTCCAATTGTGGAGGGTTGCCACGTATCAACCATTTCTGGTGATATTGGGGATGGCCCACATTAAAAACCATGGCAATGGGGGAGCTACTAAGAGTTTCTCCCTGGGCACATGACAGATGAAGGATGGTTAAAACCACCAACCAGATAATGATTTAATGGACAGATAAAACCTTCGACCTGGGGCCCGGGGTTGGATTATTTTGATGTCTATGTCTGTGCGATTTGAACAGATTCGCGCCGTAGCATGTACTGGTAGTGAATCTAGTGTGTGTCAACATGGAAGGCATGATGATTCTCAACATCTTGACCTGATACCCTCTGGTAATTCAACATAGCTATGGAAAATCACCATCTATAGTAATTATCTATAGTTAGTAAATGATCTATCAATGGGTCATTTTCCATAGATTTTTTGTATGTTTACCGGAGGCTCCAACGGATCACCGGGGATCCATTTCGGACCTTGGATGATCCCAGGAGTACGTCCACGCCAGGTTGCGACAACTATGTCTAAGCTCCAATAATTTCGGAGAGCCAGGCGGAAGTGGATGAAACTGACACGGGACGTCACCAGGGTGAAAAGGGAGATGGTCAAGTCACAAGTGATATTACCAGATGTGAAATCATTGGTGATTTCAAGCATCAGCTGTCAAAAGATTTTCCCGGGGTGCTTTGAAAATCACCAGAAATTGCATTCTGATTTTATCCACTTAAGAAACACATCGAAAACAATCACAATGTTTCAGGGGAAGAAAAATGCCCAAAGCTTCTGTGTCCTATGCTGATCTTGCTGCGACCAAACATGTTGGGTACTTAGGTGAGAGGGTAGAAGCGGATGTCAAAGAGCCATGACCCTTAGCGCACAAAGTTGGTTGGCTGGAAATCCATGAACATGTTTGGCATCACCATTCTTGATTGGTAAATTATAGTTAAATCATATGGTAATTCCTATACACAGACAATTTTGGTCCATGTTCCATGTCTTTGGTAAATTACCAAAGGCTGTACCCTCTGGTAATTTAACGTAGCTATTGAAAATGGTCATTTATAGTGGTTTTTCCCATTAAGAATTGTGATTTTCTATAGCTATGTTAAATTACCAGAGGGTATTTCATAATACCTGGCTCAAAAAAACAGCTATCCAAAACCCTCCGACTTGGATGGCTCTTCAGCCTGAGATGTTCCGCGAAAATTGCACAGCGACTAAGTGACTCTATAGCTATGGGATATATATGATATATATCTATCAAGATATATGGGTAGATATGGGATATATATATATATATATGGGTAAAACATTGCAAAACATGGGTAAGACTTGGGTACCCCCATGAACTTGAGACTTTGATGAGGTTTTTGATGGTTTCTGACATTGGCCCCGAGACTTCTGGGGGTTTTGGGCCTTGACATTTCAGCCAGGTTTGGGGGCATTGGTGGAGACCCTGCCAGACTGCGACTTGCAGATTTGTTTAGTGATTTCGCCAGCAACTGCAGATTAAAAAGTAACCAGAATTGCCACAAAGTTGCCCTCCGGTAAACCAACATAGCTATGGACAATTTAAAATCACCACTTTTCATAGGTAAATCAGCTATTGCTGGCAGTTATTCTCTGTTACCCTCTGGTAATTCAAGATAGCTATTGAAAATGAGCAGTTTATAGCTTTAATAATAGATATATACTTCAACAATATATGACAGACAAAAACTGTCAGCAACTTGACCAACCTTGACCGCTACAAAACAAGCAACTGGCTGAATGCAAAGCAACAACATTTGAATCAAACATGATGAACATAAAGAATCTTCAGATTCGGAATGTTAAAGTCCGTTAACGATACTTCTACACATGCAATCTGGTAAATTTCGGATGGTTTCTGGTGTTTGGATGATCCAGAACGGCGCCTCCAAGTCCTCCAGAAATTCACCAAAAGAATCTCATCTTCCGGGAAGTTTTCCATGGAGTTCCATGGCGGTTCTGCGGACGATGCCTGGAAGGTAATCGTCAATCATCATCCCACCATGTGAAATGATCATTGCTTTTCCGTTTTGCGGCAAATCATCTACAAATGGTTTAGGTTCCATGGCAAAGTGCAACAGTTTGCCAGAAGGTACTGCACTTGCGAGCGCAGTTGGGGGCTTTTATAACCATGGCAATTGTCCCAAAAAGGTTGGCAATTGGTCCCTACAACTGTGGTAAAATATATCTCCCCCCTCAGGTGCACCTGAACCAGCAGTTGTTAATGGGTTAACCCATAATTTTCGTCTTTGGAGATCTTTCACCCAACTTCGCAGTTGTGTTAGTTGGTGTCACCCAAAAGTTGTTTAGTTTTGTGTTTCCAACTTTCCAGAAAGTATTTCGAGTTACTTCACCATGTTGAACCCACATTTCACCCAACTTCGATCCCCTTCGATCCCCGTTTCCGGCGTCGAAAGCGAGGTTTGCAGCTGAGCAGTTTGCGCCTGGCCAGGGTGCCATTGGCGGGTGCCTCCCTGTCACGACTGGTCGGCTTGAAGGTGGGCGATCCCCAGATGCTTTAGGGATAGGCCCTATATTTCGGACCCCCTCCTCACATTTTCACATTTTTCACTTCTGAGCAAGAAATGATAAAAATTTGGAACATGGGGAAAATCCATGGGAACATCCTACCATGGAGGTTTATAGCTGTGAAAATCATAAATGATGGGAATTTCCAGCAAGAGCCTTGTGCAAATCCTGGGAAGGTGAGGGTTTGAACCGATAGAAATCATGGGATGGTGAGGATAATATGTCATGGGAAATAGTGGAATATAAGTGTGATATACTGGTGAAATATGGGTGAATTACATTGAATTACCCTCCGGTGTCATCAAACATGGCAATTGGGAATCCCCGAGCTACATGGAGGTTTCTAGCTGGAAAAAACATCCAGAAATTGGCAGATTTTTCAGCAAACCATCTTTGAATACGGGAGGGTAAATAAACATGTGAAGAAACAAGTTGAGGTTGCAAGCTATTTGTTTAATGAACTTCTAAGATCTTCTAAGCATCAAAAGAATAAGCACAATGTTAATGATCTTCACAATAGACATATCTTGAACGAAGGCTTTTGAGATGATCTAAGAAGGTACTTGAATTTGAACCATATTCGACCACCAGTCAGAAAATGCCAAAGAAATCAGGCCAGCGAAATGGGATGAAACTGCCCAGAATGAAATGGTGCTTTGGTTGTGCCATCAAGTCTTAGCTGATTGTATCATGTGCATCGCTCCACATAATATATATATATATAACTATATAGATATATAACTATATATATATATAACTATATATATATATATAACTATTTATATATGTATATAACTATATATAACTATATATATAACTATATATATAACTATACATATATATATATATATCCTATATATATATACACATGCATGGTTTTATGGTAGAGTTTGAGCCATTGCCGAACGATATGTCATATTTACAGAAAACCTGTGGGGATATTTAGGGGACACATTCATCGGTGTTCGGTCAAATGGGCTGTTGATGGTTTCATGTCCCATCTTCCATTCCCGCTCCGGCTCAATGGTCGCTGTCTAGCTAATGTTATATATATATAAAGTGATCTTCATTGAATCCTCTGTGTCATTAAAATGTTCTTGGTGTCTTAAAACCCTGAGCTGGTATCATGTCTTGAGCTAATAAGAGAACGAGAAAGAATGCGGTTGCAGACATTGAACTTCGGGTTGTTTGGACATGAAGATGTTTGAGAATATGTTCCCGAAATAAAGCACTTTGGGATTCAGGATATGTAGGTTCATTTTACACATGGATGTTGCAAGTCTCTGAGCATTTGCCCGAAGTTTATTTGATGTGTCTTTGTTGCGATCTAAAGTAAAAGACACCGAGGAGCCATGACAGCCATGGCTCTTTTGAAAGCCAAGATGTCACAGACAAGCGGTTCCAGTGTCAGGTAACTGCTTCATCCTTCATCCTGAAATGTCCACATGAAACATGTGGATTCAATGGAGGTTTCATGGAAAAAGCATGATAGTTTAATAATCAAAAATGGGGATATCGTGGGATTATCAATATCCCCATTTGTTGATTATTAAACAATCCATAGCTATATTAATGGGGAATTTACCATTTGGCAACCTAACATAGTGATTTTCACCATATTTAATAAGTTTTCATCAGGACGATGCCCATCCCCCCGCAGTTTCTGATAGCTCCACATGGGCCCCTAGTTTTACAGATCCAAGGATTACGCTCCACCAGGGTTTGCGGGGTGGATTTTTTTGAATTTATCACTATTGGAATGAATATATAATCAAATTTATGTGTATATATATATATACACCTTATCTTGACATATATATATATATATTATTGATATAGATATTAGATATTTACACATCAATATATATATATATACATATATATATATCAATGTTTATATGTATGTATTTATAAATATATATATATTTATATACACACATGTATACATATTTATATATGTATATACAAAAATATTTATATATATATATGTATACATAAGTATATATATATATTTATATAAATATACATATGTTTAGCAATTTATAGTCACTTCAACTGGAGGCCTCGAACTCGTCCGCCAGGCCTTACGGCACCTCTGCCTCAATGAGGCCTCAGCGGGGCGGGGGACAGGGTACCATGCCATACTGCATCGATATGTCTAGACGTTACAAATCCCGTATGCTCCATGTATGGAATATTACCCACATTTGCCCTAAAAATCACCCCAATGTAGGTTAATATACCATACATGGAGCATATGGGAATAGGTAGTATTATATATTGTTTTAGAACGTTACAACATGATGATGATGATGATGATGGTGGTGATGATGGTGATGGCGATGACGATGGCGATGACGATGATGACGATGATGATGTTGATGGTGATGATGATGATGATGACGATGGTGAATATGACGATGATGATGATGATGTTGATGATGATGATGTTGTTGATGTTGTTGATGATGATAGTGGTGATGATGATGATGATGATGATGACGGCGATAGTGATGGTGATGGTGATGGTGATGATGATGTGATGATGATGATGTTGATGATGATGATGATGATGATGATTTGATGATATGATGATATGATGTCATGATGATATGATGATATGATCATTTGATGATATGATCATTTGATGATATTATCACTTGATGATATGATCATTTGATGTCATGATGATATGATGACACTGAACATGTTGATGAGGATCATTGTTGTTTTGAACCTTACAAATAGGTATATTAAAAATACCTTGTGTTTCATTTTTCATGATGTTGTTGGTTATACGAGGTTGAAAATTATCAGTTCATTCCATCACTTTTTTAGGAAACCAGAGAGTGTGGTCAATTCAAGTAACACACTCGGATGTACTAGTTGTGTTTGCATGTTGCATCGTTGCGATATTCCCGTTGCTTACATCCCCATTTCTTGGTTAAAGCTTCCAACATTTAGGTACCCTAGTTTGGACAGTACCTATAGCATTCTATAGTTTAGTGACAATCTGCTATGAATTTTGATTTCGTGGAATTTGTGTTTATGTGCTTTCCATTTTTTCCAGAAGGACCCAGATTTGGATGGCAAAAGCAGAGAGTTTCTGCTGTCCAATCCTTCGAGCCCATTCTTCAGGATTGGAACTTTCATTTGACTGCTCCTTTTTAGATCCAAAAGAACAAATGTAAACAACATAAAACAACTACCATGTTGAATACGTTTAAGTTCTTTTAGGGGTTATTAATCATTATTCACCAACATTATTAACAATTATTCACCTTATTGACCATGATTCACCATTATAATGGTTAATGTTTGTTCTTTTTCTTTCAGGGACCCCTTTTCGGAGCTGTTTTTCTCTTTTCCCGGCGGATTTTTGTGAGGCGCATTTGGGATGCGAAGGTGTGCTCCATTTGACCCTTCCAACGTCTTTGGAGGATCGGAGCGTGTTATTTCATGGAAAATCCCATCTATAAATGGATGGTTATTAACAATATTGGCAATCATTCCAATGAAATCGATAATATATGGTTATTATACTAATATAGTTATTCCTAATATATGTTTTACTACTGGTAATATATGGTTATATATGGTAATTATGGATATTACCGGTAATAGTACTGGTAATATTGGTAACTCCCAATATCCATTGCAATTTCATTGGAGGATCCATGGTTATTCATTTTTTGTTTCCATGAAATGGCAATGCGTTATGATGTTTTATCGGTATAGCATGACATTTAATATGTGTATTTCTGATATTTTTGGGTATACCTGAATTTCATGAAAAAACGAATATAAGAAAGGAAGCCCAGAGGTTGAAAACTGTTCATGATAGATTTGTAAATGAACATTGCTGGTGGAACAAGGAGTGAACTTAAGAACTTAACTTTACGGAACTCCTCGAAAGAACATCTATCAATCTGAAAATGGGTTTTTGATCAGGAACATGAGGTTCCTACTTTTTTAGACAAACTCATCTGGAGGTTTTCTAAGTCATGCAGGTACCCCCAAATCATTCAAGTCAGAAACGACCATCTTAGTACTGAAACCTATGGTGACTTGGGGATCCCTCATTTCAAAGAAAAACCCATATATTGCAAACTGTTCGCACATGTTAGTTCGATTAATCCCCACTTGAACTAGCATCAGATCATCCCTTGGAAGCACAGCTGCATGGACTGTGGCCTTGTACAATAGGTTCGAAGTATATATATATATATATATAATCGTATATATATATATAACTATATATATATAAATAATATATATATATATATGTGTGTGTGTAACCCCTTTTGGATTGTTCAAATTCCCCATTTTGGAGTGCTCAACTTCTATGTTTGATATGTAAACCATCATGTTTGATCTGTAAAATCACACGTGTTGATTCATTCATGGTTAAAAGCACCATTTTTTCAATAGTAAAACCACACTTGTTTGAAAAAAAAAACCGGCATTTCTGAGCAAAATCACCGCGTGGCATCAGGAGCTGCTCCTGGATGGCAACAGCTTGGGCGACGCCGGGCTGCGCCGCTGGACATTGGGCACCAGGGGCGCCAGGGATGGGGAATTCATGTGAATTTTCATGGGTGGTGAATGGGACTGGAATGTTGAATGGATGTTGAATGATTAGTGGATGGGATTTAGTGGATGTTGAATTTTGAATTTTAATAATTATCGATTTTTTGTGGATGTTGAATGGGATTTATATAGTCGAAACGGACAGAATGGGACAGTGGAAATTTCTTTTTAGGATTTTAGTGGGATCTAATCTAATGGGATGTTCATGATGGTTGACTGGGGATTTTATGCGAATTTTTGCCCGGAGTTGCTGAAGAGACCCCCGGGGGCCTAGGCTGGTTCAAAGAATCCGCTTTGGATGCCAATAGATGATGCTAAGACAAAGGTTCACTACCCTGACCCGAACATTTACCCTTCGACGAGAATCATCGAAGGTGGGATCAGGCCAGACTCCAACTGAACTTTCAGAAGCTCATCCTGGAACCCTATGAATTATCATGGGGATGATGGGGGATTGCGATTCTGCTTTGCTGGAGGAAGCTACTAAAGGTCTGATTTAAACAGTCAAATCCTTGTCAGAATCTTATCCAGGAGAATCCATGGGCCATTCATGTCATATTTTGTTACAGCGATGTATGCATGAGGATCTATGGTTGGTATATCCTCCTGAATCCTCCTGATACTTTCAGGGACTTGGGATTACATTTTAGCATGGCCCAGTAAGTCCGATTGGGGATCTTGTTTTTAAGAGAGTGTGCTATGGCATACTGTAGTTTGACACTGGAAGCGGCAAGAATCCTTTCGGTTTCAATACAAAACACGTATTCTGGTGGGGTTGGATGGCTTGATGTTCGAGTTTGAAACACTGTATGTATGCCAACTGGAAGGTGAAGGCGCGCCCTGCGTGGCAGGCGCGGCACTTTGTGCACTGAAACGTCATTTTGCGTGGCAGGCGCACATTTACTTTGCTTGATGTTGCCGGCTATCTGTATGAGAAAAATGAGGAGGGGATTGCAAGGTTCGCACCTTGACGCTGTGATGCCATAGCCCGGCCTTCCTGCGCGACGCTGGATGGACATGTAGTCGGCGCCGATTGATGGCCGCGCGGCAGTAGGTAGGCCCAGCCATTGCAATCCCCAAGGCGTGTCAGATCTAAGGCTTCGCACTCAAGCTCACGTTGAAATAAAGGTTTTATTCCATCGTTTATTCCATTATTCCATTAGGATATTTAGGATATCTCGTAAATTCTAGTAAATTCTATCCTCATAACATATCCCATCAAGTCACGTAGGATAGCATCCCCTCGCGCGTGGATTTGCTGAGAATCTGCGGGGAATACTCTCTGGTAGTTTGTTACAGTTTGCTATTGAACATGGCCATAGAAATAGTGGATTTAGCCATTGAAAGATGGTGGTTCTCCATTATTTTTTGTATGTTTACCAGAGGGTATCCTTTATTCTTGGGGGTTCCCTAGGCAAATCCAAGAAAAGTAGAGATGTGGCTGAAGTCAGACTATTGGCCAGTTTATATGGGATATTATTGGGATTCAATGGGGATATACCTTATATAATATAATACATATAACGATATAAATGTCGGATATTTCAAGGCTTTTACTACAAATTGAAGATATGGCTTAACTATACTTGGTGAGAGTGGTTTTCCCCACGTGTAGGTGGATGAATACTACTTATCACATGTATAACGAGAGATATAACCCAAGATATGGGGATAATGGGAAAGAATGGGTGATTTACCAGCATTTTTTTCGGGATTAACTTGATTTACCTATCAACGATGGTTTTAACCATTCAAAGTATGGGTGGAGAAATGGAATAGCAACCAACCATACTGGGGATATAAGCAGCAACAAATTCGTAGTAAACATGATTTTTCATAATTATAGTAATCATAATAATAGTAATTCTATAAATAATAATAATGATACAGTAATAATTATGATAATGATAATAATAATCATCATCAGCATAACAATCATAATATTGTAATCGTAATAATCACAAATATTGATATTAAACACTATGAACCTGTTCTCAAGGATACACAAGGTCCTAAGGTTCCCACATGAAAAGAGGAGTGAGCATCAGAGAACGTCCAGTCCTAGTCCTATTCACATGGTACGAATCGGAACCTTAGTACAAGCATTGTCTCGGATGTGCCCCACCCAGTTTGACCGACTAAGAAAAAATCACCACCCAACTCAAGTGCAGGGCCCTGGATACCTCACTATACCAAGCCATTAGTTTTGCTCAATCTTCAGAGGAAATAAACAGAATTTCGGGTCAGTCGCCTTGAGCCGATGCTCCAAGGCATGTTGACACCCAAGTTGCCCAGTAGCTTACAGCTGCTGTCGCTCAGTGACAATGGTCTTCGAGATGCAGGTGCAGCTTCCGACCCAGAATTGTTGGGTCATCTCATCAGCGATTTTGTTGGGTAAACACATGTGGATAGTATGATATAATCGTCATATAGGGGGATTTTTATTCACGAATTTGATCTTTTTTGGAGATTCAACGAATACGATTGGGATAAGATAACCACTCTGAACATGGTGAAATTAACCCCAGTCATGGCAAGTTCGAACATGGGAACATGTTGATAAAGCCATGGGATTTAGACATACCTCATTTTCAGACCAAACGATTTTCAACTGGTTGGTGGTTTGGAACATGGTTTTTCTTTTCCCCACTGGGATGATGAAAATCAATCTTACCTTCATATGTTTCAGAGGGATTGAAGCCACCAACCAGTAATGATACATGATGATACATGCTACTTTTCGGGCAACCTGGAGTCCCGAACATTTTCCTATATATTGGGAATAATCATCCCAATTGAAACCACAAACCAGAAACCATTTTCAAGAATTGTGAACTGTTCGTTGGGTGCACTACCAATGCTCCTTGACAAATATTGAGATTGGTGCTGTTTCGGCATGTTTTCTACGAGTGGTGCCATGTGGTGCCAAAAGAGTTGGTTTATAAGCACAAACACCATCAACTATAGACTATAGACTGGTTGGTGGTTTCAAACATAGCTTTTATTTTCCATGTCACATATGGGATGTCATCCTTCCCATAGACGAACTCATATTTTTCAAAATGGTTATTGCACCACCAACCAGATCAACTATAGAGTATAGATATATCTACCATAAATCCTGCTTACCCTAGTTATGCACCAACCCATCGCTATCTAGTGGACCCCACCAACTGTCCGTTCAGTTATTGGGACGTGGTGTTTTGGGATGGGCCCACAGGTCAGTTGACTCCAATAGCTCTATGATGTTCCCATGTAATGTAATGTTTTTTCTTCCACAGAACATCACATATTTGTATGTATAATATATATATATAAGAAATCTTCAAAACCAACATAGAACACATAGATATTGAATACGATCCCAACATATGCACCGACTCGGTGCTGACATATTAGCAGTCTGCCATGTGATTATTGAGTGTTATATAAGCCAGTTCTACGGTAACCTTACACATCCATGTTTTGGCAGGAGTTTTTGTTACATCTCTGGTTGCTGGCTACATACATATCTATTTATGTGCATATGTATGTGTATATTGTGGTAAGCCCAATTTCATAAACTATTCCCGAAATTCCCATAAATAGGTGTTTTAAGTTCACCATCCCCAAATGATAGCTTTCTGGCATTAGCTTTCCTACATTAAATATATTATAGTAATATCCTATATTACATCTATAGATATGATATTAGATAATATATTTGGTAATTTACCATATTTTCCCATATATTATATTATCTAATATTCCATAGGATTTTTGAAATTACCATATTTTCCCATATGATTTTGTATATTTACCTAACACTATTCCATTTATTCCCATGGCATCTGATCTATAGGACATCTTCTAGTAATATATGGGAGCATGGCCAGGGCTGAGGGCTTTAGCGCCGTCCACACGAAGTTTGCGCACCCTAAGGGCACGGAGACCTGGGCCGACCATGTTCAATAGGGAAATGATGAGACATGGCTAAAATGATTTGGAATTTGTCAACATGTTTCGGCAAGCTCGGCACCTGGGATGTTCATTTTTAGTTGGTCGGAAAGCGGATGGGTGTTCCAGACAAGTTCTGCCATGAACATCTTGTAAAAGATAGAAAATGATGATTTGTTTGTGTGTTTTTGTATGTTTTTGTGGTAAAAACCAAACGAACCGAAAAACATCTGGGATAGTTGGTGAGAGCCATCTGTTTGGCCACAAGGTATACCGTACCGTTCCCATGAGTTTGTTCCTTCTGCAAGGAACATCATGGGTTGGTACAGAATTGGGTCAGCGGGATTGGAAGTAGCGGATGTCTACGCAAGGACCCACAATGGCCACACAACACAGGCCAATCTCAGGCAAACAATCAACCAGTGGACAAAGGGATCTTAGATTTTCAAACAAAACCATGTAAAACCATATATTGCATTACATAGCATTCCCCCATGAAGAGAAAACAACCAGGAACCTCCTGATCTATATACATTGGTGGCACAGGAAAAAATATGTCTGAAGATCCCTCAAGGGCGATGGTTGCTTTTGTGTTTTGGGGCCCATGGCTGAAACCACCTTCCGGGGTCAAAATGTTCCAAATTCCAATCCAAGTTTGATTATACAATTACATTGTTTTTAGCCTCCTTGGCAATGACAAATCCCCGATTTCTAGATGATTTTTCCAGCTATAAACCGCCTTTTATATGGGATTCTCCAGCCAGCCACGCTTGATTTCCAGAGGGTAGCCCTAATTGTTGGTGATATATCCCATTATCTCCAATAGATCCCTATTGATGGTTGGCTATTGAATTGCCATTAAAAAAAAACATGTAATGTTAGTAAAGCAAAGTCATAAACCACCCATGGATTAATGGTTTATACCCATAACATGGTGAACTTGGGGATGGAGATGGTGGATCCTATTCCTTTAGCAACAGGTGTCTCCTTGCCCTGACGTCTTGTGTTTTCTCAGGTGAACTCAAATCACTTCACGACTCAGGTGCTGGGCTGCTGGACCGGCGAAAATTCTCGGGGCTTTTTTCGTGGGAAAACATCGAACCCGGAATTGGGTTCTCATGAAATATGGTGTCAAACATGGCAAAACCCTTTAGGAATTATCTTGAACATTCTTGAGCCAATTTTATCCAATTTTGGGATCCTTTAAATTTTGATAATGGATCATTAAGCTGAATTATCGTGATCCATTTTTCCCAAGAGCGTCTGAGCGCAGGGTTCTTCCAATAGTGGGGGTCTGTATCTCATCTTCTCATCTTCACACCTTCTCATCTTCACACCTTCTGTCACACCTTCTCATCTTCACATCTTCTCATCTTCACACCTTCTCATCTTCACATCTGCTCATCTTCACATCTGCTCATCTTCACATCTGCTCATCTTCACACCTTCCCATCACATCTGCTCATCTTCACATCTGCTCATCTTCACATCTTCTTATCTTCACATCTTCTCATCTTCACATCTGCTCATCTTCACATCTGCTCATCTTCACATCTGCTCATCTTCACATCTTCTCATCTTCACATCTGTTCATCTTCACATCTGCTCATCTTCACATCTGCTCATCTTCACATCTGCTCATCTTCACATCTGCTCATCTTCACATCTGCTCCTCTTCACATCTGCTCATCTTCACATCTTCTCTCACATCTGCTCATCTTCACATCTGCTCATCTTCACATCTTCTCTCACATCTGCTCCTCTTCACACCTTCTCTCACACCTCATCTTCACATCTTCTCTCCTTTCTCTCTCCCTTTTCTCTCTCTCGCCTTCTTTATCTTTCTCTCTTTAGGCCGAGGGTGGTGCCGGCGGGAGTCACGAAACGTGGACCTCTTCGCACGAAATGAAGGTCGATCGTCAAAAACTGAGGAAAAATTGCGATTTTACTTGTCCCGGAGCAACCGTTTCGCACGAAATGATGGTCGATCGTCAAAAACTGAGGAAAAATTGCGATTTTACTTGTCCCGGAGCAACCCTTTCGCACGAAATGAGGGTCGATGCGCAAAAACTGAGGAAAAATTGCGATTTTACTTGTTCCGGAGCAACCGTTTCGCACGAAATGAAGGTCGATCGTCAAAAACTGAGGAAAAATTGCGATTTTACTTGTCCCGGAGCAACCGTTTCGCACGAAATGATGGTCGATCGTCAAAAACTGAGGAAAAATTGCGATTTTACTGTCCCGGAGCAACCGTTTCGGACGAAATGAGGGTCGATGCGCAAAAACTGAGGAAAAATTGCGATTTTACTTGTCCCGGAGCAACCGTTTCGCACGAAATGAAGGTCGATCGTCAAAAACTGAGGAAAAATTGCGATTTTACTTGTCCCGGAGCAATCCTTTCGCACGAAATGAGGGTCGATCGGCAAAAACTGCGGTAAAATTGCGACTTTACTTGTGCCGGACGTGTCTGTGTGTAACAGCGTCTGTCTGTAAAAGCGTCTGGGTATAAGAGTCTCTGTGTATAAGAGTCTCTGTGTGTAAAAGTGTTTGTGTGTAAAAGTGTTTGTGTGTAAAAGTGTTTGTGTGTAAAAGCTTCTGTGTGTAAAAGCGTCTGTGTGTAAAAGCGTCTGTGTGTAAAAGCGTCTGTGTGTAAAAGCGTCTGTGTGTAAAAGTGTTTGTGTGTAAAAGTGTTTGTGTGTAAAAGCGAATCTGTGTAAAAGGGTTTGTGTGTAAAAGTGTCTATGTAAAAGTGTCTGTGTGTAAAGGCTTCTGTGTGTAAAAGCTCCTGTGTGTAAAAGCGTTTGTGTGTAAAAGTGTTTGTGTGTAAAAGTGTTTGTGTGTAAAAGCCTCTGTGTGTAAAAGCGAATCTGTGTAAAAGGGTTTGTGTGTAAAAGTGTCTATGTAAAAGTGTCTGTGTGTAAAGGCTTCTGTGTGTAAAAGCTCCTGTGTGTAAAAGCTCCTGTGTGTAAAAGGCTCTTTGTTAAAAGTGTCTGTGTGTCAAAGTGTCAGTGTGTAAAAATGTCTGTGTGTAAAAGCATCTGTGTAAAAGCGTATGTGTGTAAAAGCGTCTGTCTGTAAAAGCTTCTGTGGGTAAAAGCTTTGTGTGTAAAAGTGTCTGTGTAAAAGCGTCTGTGTGTAAAAGCTTCTGTGTGTAAAAGCTTTTGTGTCTGCAAGCGTCTGTGCGTAAAAGAGTCTGTGTGTGAAAGTGTCTGTCTGTAAAAGCTTCTGTGTGTGAAAGCTTTTGTGTGTAAAAGTGTTTGCGATGCAAACTATTGTCTTGCACTTCTGCTATTTTGTCTTAATATATAATTTCTAATATGGTGTCTCCATACTAACAAGAGAAGACCCTGCTCCTCTACGCTCTCGGGCCATCCGTCGTCTAGTTTTGATTATTTCTATTAATATCCTACAATGTCTTGGCTTTTGGGCTCTCACGAGTTTTTTTTTCTGGAAACCTTGGATCTCCTCTCGTATATGGCAAGCTCCGTCCCGGACTGCCGATACTCCAGAAGATGTCAGCCAGAATGTGTGTGTGTATTCATGTGCTATATTTATTCATTTATTTATTTTTCATTTATTTATTTATTTATTTATTATTTATATATATATATGTATTTATATTTGTATTTATATATACACATTTTACTTTTGTTGGTGCTGTCCAGTTGCAATCCTTATCTAGTGTAAATACGTATGTACATATTTGCGTGATATCAAAAATTATGTGTCTATATATATGTATATATATATATATATTTAAATATATACATGTATATGTGTTTATCAAATACATACATACATACATACATACCTACATACCTACATACCTACATACCTACATACCTACATACCTACGTACCTACGTACCTACGTACCTACGTACCTACGTACCTACGTACCTACGTACCTACATATGTACTTACGTACATACGTACATACATACATAGATGCATAGTTGCATAGATGCATAGATACATAGATACATAGATACATGCATGCATCGATACATACAAACATAGATACATACATACATCGATACATACATGCATGCATCCATACATGCATACATGCATGCATCCATGCATGCATGCATGCATGCGTACATAAATACGTACATACGTACGTACATGCATACATACATTCAGACATACATACGTACGTACGTACATACATACATACATAGATACATAGAAACATACATACATACATACATACATACATAGATACATAGATACATGGATACATGGATACATAGATACATAGATACATGCATGCATAGATGCATAGATACATAGATACATAGATACATAGATAGATAGATAGATAGATAGATAACTAGATAGATAGATAGATACATACATACACATACATACATACATACATACATCTTACTACCCCAAATTGTGCGGTTTGAAACCACCAACTAATCAAAACACGTTGCAATCCCATGTGGTTGCTATGTGTTTGTGGTGCCCATGGATTCCCAGGGTTTTTGGTTATTGATTCTTATCACCACATCTTGATCAGTGGAATGGTGTAAGTAGATGTCACCACATCAGTTTCATGCTTCATAGATCTCATAGATCCCCATTGGAATTCGGTGAACATCGATGATGTCCCATATTATGACTATTATATCCATACAATCCATACTATTCACATTCATCGATGATTTCCCCATGACATTTCCTGCCTGCTCCGGGCAGGCCTTACAAGAGCTGGGCCTTTCATCACCCGAGACAAAGATCTTGGCCATGAACCAACGGCCGTAGCGGGCGAAAACATGTAAACATGTGCTAACCAACTCTGGATGAGTTATAACTGAGTTATAATATATCATATAAATATAGTGACCTCACCTGGTGATGTCACTGCAATAATGGCTAGCAAGGGGAATCATCCCCAACTGGTTTTATGTTAGTTCTTTTGAGGTTGGTGCAGTATTAGAATTCAGCCAGGATGGGTAGGCTTATACATTCTTATACTATCTTATACTGATATGTTTTATTGTTTTGATGGGGAAAGATGAACCGACTACAAAGACTATGTTTTTGCTTGGTTAAGATTGAGCATGAACATGGCTGTTGGTTCTTAAGTACGTTATGTTTGCCAAAACAAAATGTAGTTTTTTAATAGAACAGGTTTTTGTGTTTTTAAGGGGCCAGTTCTCTCCTTCAGATTGGCCCAACATCTCGGGCACATCTGGATCATCCCGCAACAGCCGCGGAACCGGGCTCGGACAAAAAATGGTGCCTTTCGGAAGAGGTTTGGACTTGGAAGCCCCCTTGGAAGATGTGGATGAGACTATCGGTCAGAATTACTCGATGTATCTCTATTTTAATGGATCACTTGGGGGTTGGTGGATATGTGGCTTCAAATAAAACCATAGATTTACATCCGAGTAACGTTTCCATGAGGAAAGGTACCAGGGTGGAATGAGCAACAAAGAATCCGCATGCAACTTAGTTCCAAGAATCGATTCAAGGGTTGCGGACTAAACATGGCAAGATGCGAAATCCGAAAGCTAAAAGGAGGTTTAGTTCGCTGGGAAAATCTTCCAGCCATGTTTGATTGCTGGAGGGTAGTTGCCAGTATATACAGTGTTATATCCCAAATGACCAAGGTCGGTAGAAAATTTCCATGGTCCCAGAGTTTGTGTGGAATTCATAATTGTTAATATCCGTGTCCCGGCCCTATGAATTTGGTGGGCGCATATGAATTTGGATAAAATTTGGGTGTTGAACCATAAAACCAATGGTTTTATAATGATGTACAATGTATGGATATACCTAGAAATAACACAGAAAATCCATACCTAAGAAACCATCACGCATCACGGTATAGAACTACCAAGAAAATCCATGGCATACATTTCTATATCCCTCAAATCCAACTGTTTTTTTCTCCAAATTCGCCACAAGGTCATCGGTGATCCACCGGGCGGCAGTGCCGTGCAATGCTCGGACGCTCAGAGCGTTGGGATATCATGGGGACATATATATATATAATATCTAACAGTAGGTAGCTATACGATTATATATATACATATATATATATATATATCATATACATATATATATATCATATACATATATATATTGTATAAATATATATATATATATTGTATATATATATATATATACGTGATATATATATATATACATACATACAATATATATATATTTACAATATAGATATATATATATATATAATATATATATACAATATATTTATATAATTATATGACCATGTAAATAACATTTATTATATATATACATAGTATTACATATGTATATTGTAAATATATACGTTCATATATATATATATATACATGTGTGTGTTTTATTTGTATTTATATATATACATATGATATGTATATGTTTTATATATATATATATATATGATTATAAAACATATATATATATATGATATACATATATCATATATATATATATATCATATATATATATATATTGTTTTTACATAGGATATATATATATATATATAATCATATGACCATGTCTGGTTGCTGCTGTCATTTTGTTTTAATGTTCCTGAGCATATTTGGGATGATTCTCCCCAACTGACGAACTTATTTGTTTCAGCGTTGGGATGCTTCTGCCCTCACGGCAGGCTCCAAAAGAGCGGCAGCAAGGCACCATTTTTTGCCCTGGGATGCAACTGTTTGTAGTATCTTGACTACCCCAAGCATCGATGTGGTTTTAATCCACCATTTCTAGATGATTTTCCTCGGGAAAACATAGGTTTTTCACATCTATGTTGGTTCCCGGGGTCTGGAATTTTGGATCAATACCCAAAGTTGCCAGGTACCCCCTGGGTAAACTGTTGCCATAAACATCCCGGCAGATGCGAAACCGCGCGAGCGTTTTGAGGGTTTGCTGAATAGGACCGTCAGAATCACCTGTAATTTTCAATATAAAATGCTGTTCCGAACTCTTTCGATAACTCAATTTTGGTGAAAAAAAGTGGCTTCAAAATCTATTGAATGTTGACAAATCCTTGTAAATACCATGTGCATCAGACGTGGATTCGACGAGTTTTTTTAACAGCCATCGTCGGCTCAGCGATCCATCAGTTTGGTAGCTGTCTGCGACAGCAAGTTGCCATTATGGCACTCATAACGCCATTGCCAGCAACGCAGGTACAGCATGACATCTTTGTTCTGCCCTGCTTTTGTCTGCAAATTGCTAGGCACAGCGTGTTAGAAGTCACATGGAAAAAGCGCAGAGCGTAACATGCAGAGCGTGTTAGAAGTCAAGTGGAAACAGTGCAGAGCGTAACATCCAGAGCGTGTTAGAAGTCACATGGAAAAAGTGCAGAGCGTAACATCCAGAGCGTGTTAGAAGTCAAGTGGAAACAGTGCAGAGCGTAACATCCAGAGCGTGTTAGAAGTCACATGGAAAAAGTGCAGAGCGTAACATGCAGAGCGTGTTAGAAGTCAAGTGGAAACAGTGCAGAGCGTAGCATCCAGAGCGTGTTAGAAGTCACATGGAAACAGTGCAGAGCGTGACATGCAGAGCGTGTTAGACGTCACATGGAAAAAGTGCAGAGCGTAACATGCAGAGCGTGCTACGCAAGTGATGTTAGGCAAGAGCGTGTTCCACGCACTCTGCACATGTCGTTAATACCCCACCCCACCCACCCACCCCACCCCAACCCCAAGACAAAGAGCAATCCTCAAAAAAGTAGCAAAACGCACGTACGGTTTTGCAGCCGTAGGCATAAACATGGGTATAGCACCCCAAACAAAGTTCAAAGATATTCATTACTATTTAAGCATGATTGTTTTTTTTTTAGGTGTTGCTCTGGTACATATACATATATACCTATATATATATAGATAGATGCGATTCTGGGTTATCAAGCTGAAAAAACAAAAGAATCTGGGTATCCCAGTTACGACGATACTACATGTGGAGTCCCCAAGAAAACGATGGCCCGCGATGGTCTGAAAACCATGAGCTTTGGGGTGTCCCACAGTCTAAAGAATGAAGGTGCCAATGGGTTTAGGGAAGCCTTGGTTTTATCGACAAGAGGTGAGAATTTGCCAGAAAACAAGAATGCGGAGGTTTACATGTCAAACAACATAATTGGTTTTCCAATCATAAATGACCAATGTTGGATGATTTTGGGTCATCACTATTTTTCGAAGAAACAACCATATGTCCTACTTATATAGATGGTTGGTAGATCAAGCGGTCTATTGTTGGCTATGTGAGTTTGTGCATCCTTCGGCACTTTTCAAGCCATCTTCTTGTAGATGGGCATGTGGGACCCAGGGCCACCTTGGTATCCCCTTTGCATGGCAGGTGAGCGATCGGGTCAGGTGAGGGTTGTTCGACATGGGCGAGGGAGAGAAGGGAGCTTGCGCCACCAAAAGACAGGAAGGAGCCCCTCGATACGCAACTTGGTTTGTAACTAGGCTAACTATAGGATTGGTGGTGGATAGATGTGGATACACCCTCTGGTAAAAGCTAACATAGATGTGGAAAACCCATTGCTATATCATTTTCCTACGGAAGCCATGGGATTTCTACATTTTTTTGTATGTTTACCGTAGGGTATCATAAATCTACAGTTTGATGGCCTTGCAACCTATGATGATCCGGGCCCTGCCAGGAAAATGAGCAGTGGAGCCCAGTCCTTCAATTTATTGTTGCAGTTAAGCTAAGGAGCAATGTTGCTAGACCTTTCACTATTTGCTGGGGAGGTAAATATATCATATACCCTCCAGTAAATTAACAGTTTGACCCTGAAAATCACCTATTTTTAATGGAAACTAATCTTCCAACCCCGATGACTGCCAGGGTCTATGTTAGTTTACCAGAGGGTAATTATTCATAGGTTCCATTTCTGGCAAAGATCCAATATCATCAACCGGCGCTTAAAAGATGGTCAGCCGTAATTTCGCCAGGCTTTTCCTCTTCGACTTTGACCAGACGCTCTCAGTTTCTGGGCGACGCGATGTGTTTGAAAATTGGGTATCCACAATGGAGGATTATCATGGAATACTGATGGAATTTTAATGATAATGATGTCATGATGTCTCCATTTGAAATTATTTAGTAATTACTGAACATGAAACATGTGTACCCTCCAATCATGATCACCCCATAAGGCCCTATTTGTTTGTTTCTGTTAAAACCATGTCCCGCAATTCAGACATGTCTAGCGAAGATATTCCTCAACAGTTGGCTGATGTTTCAAGGGCAACCAGTGGACCATCGTCCACCAGCGAATAAATATGTCTGCATGGCCACCAAAAATGATCAAAAATGTGCATGGGTCATTTTGTTTGAGCCATTTCCAAATGTGCTTGATTGATGAGGGGCGGTTCCCCCAAAAAAGTTATATAAATATAATATATATACATACATGCACACTTGTGTACATATATACGGACGTGTATATAATATATATATATATATGTATGCGTATATGTGTATGTGTATGTGTATGTGTATATATATATACTTGTGTATACGTATGTATACATATATATATAATATTATGTATATATACATATATATATGGTTTCAATGTGGTACTACCCCAATTAAACAACCTGGTAGTTTTGATTCATCCAGGGTTGTAACATTACAGCTATTGTCATGCAGTTTTGAAGTGGGCAAGACTATGCCAAGATGATAATGATGAGTGATTTGCTGGAGGCATTTTTCAGGAACACACCAAGATTGGGGTGTTTGCAACTGGTCTGATCAACCAAGCTCTTACACCACTGCTTTAAGATGTCCGAAGTTGTGCCTGCAAATTGAGTTATCAGATTTCTTTTT